TTGTGCAATTTTTGCATAATATTACACTATTTACATAAGTTTATGGCGGGCCCCATAATATTATGTAAATTTACGGCAGGAAAAGTTTCCTGAGGTTGGCACTCTGACAAAAATCTAACTTTCACTATTACTACTGCTATTATTATCAATAATATTATTACTAATATTTAGTGATGTTAGCCGGCCAAGCCATTTATTACCTAAATTGGTAATTTTTATTTCTATAACCAGGAGATAACACAGAAATCTATTACCAAATTTAGAAATTATGTACACAGTGAAACTCGATTTAGCAGATTTTGATTTAGCAGATGTCTAATAAAAATCTCGATTTAATGGATTGAGGCTCAGAACTGGGCTGCATTTTTATATAGTAAATTTCTCGATATAATGGATGTACTAATTAAATCTCAATTTAATGGATTTTTGAAAAATTTTTACTAAGTGGCTGAAATTATCTGCCAAATTGAGTTTCACTGTGTATACAGATTATTAGCCAGCTTAGCCGGCTAAGGCTTTTCTACCGGCTAACATCACTACTAATATTTATATTTTCATTGTTTTCATTATCTTCATCAACTTCACACTCAACCTCTTTCTTCTTTTCTTTGTTAACCCACTGTTGAATTGCTTCTATCATTTTTCTCCTAGGATTTGATTTTCGTTGGTAGAAGTTTTTTATTGTGGAAGTAGCAACACCCTTCCCCTCTGTAAGTAATTCACAAATTTCAATGGCCATTTCACTGAATGAAAAATTTGGATTTAGTTTAGTCTTTTTGTCAAATAATTGTTTGAAATCCTTCCATGGATTTTCTATTATTTTTTATCACTAGTAAGTTTATTTATTTTATTTTTGAATTGGCCTTTTCTTGGTTCTATTTTATCAATTTTTTGATTTATAATAGAGTTGATTTTGTAAGTTTATAGTGAAGTAAGAAGCCAAGCAAGTGTCCATTAACAACCCACAAAAAAGTTCACAGTTGAAAGTAAGCATTTTTTTAAAATGTTATTATGGATGTAAATATTTATTGATTATTTGTTTGTTTTTTAAACCAGAATAAAATTGTGTTTAATGGTAATTATTAGAAGGATTTGTTATTTGAATTTTTTTTTACTTGAAAACTAAGTGAATTGGTGATGTTTTTATAATGTTCCAATACAAGGTGGGATTATTTACCTCATTTCAATGTCAATGAGAGAAAAACAAAGACTTATAAAACATATCCTTGAATGTAGAATTTGTTCAAAAACTCAAATAACATTTTTTTTTATTGATAAGCAATGCAATATAATGATGTAACAGTTTATTTCGTCCTTTAACTTTGTATTACAAAATGTGGCACAGTAAACACAAACTTATTTCGCGTAACGTGTTTAAATTAAATGAAACGTTACTGTACAACTTTTTCTTATTATCATTATCTTTATCATTTATTTATATTATATTTATATTATTATTTATATGGGGCATGCTGCAACAAAACCAGACAAAGTGAACATTGGTATTACCAAAATTTTCAGGGTTCAAAATTGGCAAATTTGTTCAAAAAGTATTATTATTATTATTATTATATTAATATGACCATTTAAATTGAATGTTTTTTTTTGTTCTTTTTCCATGTCCCTTTAATTATTCAATAACCTCCATAGAGAATAATGGAGGTAATCAAGCCAAAAGCATAGATTGAGGTTGTTTTCGCACTTCCCCCTTTTTTACACCTTGTTTTTCTTGGTTTTCAGCAATTCATACTCTGAGACTCATTTTTTTTATCAGAGAAATCAAATGATGATCATGTGATTTTTACATGTAATCATCAAGGATTCCAATGAACAATAAATAGTAGCCTTACCAAAGATACACAAAGACCACTCATTCATTACATTAAATATTTAGTTACATCAACTTTTATTTATTTTAGTTATATTTCTAATTTATCTTATATTATTATTATTATTGAATTTTTATTATGACTTAGCGAACAGATCATTTCATAAATGAGCATGAATTAGAAAGCTTAATTTGTTAAGGGTAGAGTATACGTAACACAAATTTTACTATGATACAGTGGATAATTTTTTGGCTGCTGATCATTAAAATATTAATGTAGATAATAACATTCATTATATAATAGTAATATCAGGGTAGAAAAATATATTTTATTTGTAATATCACCTATTGAAAGCAGGTGATGAGAGAATGAAAATTATAAGTCCAGTAATTAACACTAAACAATAAATGAAAACATTTACTATAACATTGTCCTTTTCTTCCACATCCTTTACATCATTTAGTAAACAAATAAATAAACAGGCTATATTTTGCTGCTCTTTCTCATTTCCTTATTTAAAAATAAATTATAATGTTAATACTTTAATTCTCAATATTATATTAATTATATTAATTATCTTCAAGTAAAATTATAGGAAGCACTCACATGTTTAAAAGTAAAAAGAAAATTTGATATAACTTCCACAAAGAATAAGCAGAACAAATAGTATATGTAGAATAGATAGAGATATATTGTTGTCTTGTTATTGACTTCCACTACCATCCCTCAACTTGTCTAGTTGATAGTTATGTTTTCAAAAATTTTATTTTTAAATTAGAATGTTTTTTAATGCTTCAAATTTACACATGAATAAAACTAATACCATTTACCTTGAGAACTCATTGGCAAAGAATTAAAAATAAATAATTTTCCTTTGAGATTTAATAATATATTTGTTATAAAAATTATTGTTTCTATAAAATATATCTTATATTAATACATATAATAAATTCTATAATGATTAATACCACCAACACCACAGTTGCATCACTGGGAAATTGCTGCATGTAACTGCAAAAAATTTATCCAGGTAATTTTAAATAAATTAAATTATTATTTAATTAATTTTTATTAATTTAAGATTTTAAATTTTAATAGTTGAGAACAAATTTTTTTAATACAATTGGATATAATGATAATTTGATAAATACACCAAGAAATCACCCTGAATCATCCACAGAATGCAACAGGTTTTGTGCCTTTTTGAGAAAGAATAATTTTCTTAATCCAACAATTATAAAATCTAATTTTGAAGGTCTTGGTAGAGAATCTAAATTAAGTGATCAATTAAAAGATTTTACCAATTTAGCAAAAAAAGCTAGACAAGATTATATTATTGAAGTATTTAGTAGAAAAAATAAAAATTCATTATCTCAATGTATTCCAGTAACCCAACAAGAAGAGAATGAATTAAGATTTACTCGTGTAGAAATTCTAAAAAGAATAGAACAGCTTCTTAATCAAGTTGACAATAATATCAATTTAAAATATAGTACAATAGTTTCTAAAAAGAAAAGTGAATTAATAGATATATTAAATGAGCTAGAAAATTTACAAAAAGAAAATACTTACAACGAAGAAATCATTAATTAACTTCTTTTAAAGTTCATGTGTTTGTAAAATCTTGACTTGCTAATCA